GCGATGGAGCCGGCCGCGGCCCGCCGTCGCGTGTCGTGCGAGAAGAATCGAGGGAAAGAAAAGAATAGGAAAAAAGAAGAAAATAAAATAAAAATGTAACTGACGTGGGTCCCACATTTTTGGGGACATTATTGATAATCTGCTGTAACATCTCTCTCAATAATCTAACCAAATGATATTGGGCTACCCCAATACCGGTTTATTGGGGAAGATTTATTCGGGAGCCGCTGGAGATGTTCTGAGGTGCTGGGTGGTAGAAACAAGAAACGTAAGATGGTTTCTGATTTCTCGGGTGCCCACTAAGCTTTCAAGGAGCCACAATGGTCCTGGCCAAGTCCAAGCGAAGCCCACGAAAGTTGAACATCAACTGGCCCAACACGACTCCACCAAGTCGTGCCCCGGGCTCCCGGCGTGCGATGGCCCTGGGGACGACAGACGCCACCGTCCAATCAAGTTGCCCGTATGCGCCGGCCCGGGGTGCTACCGCCTCCTCGGAGGCGAGGGAATATCGCGGATCCCCTTCTCCACATGCCGGCATGTTTGGATGCAACCCTGGATGAGTTGCCTGGGCATTTCAGCTGCCTGTGACTTGCCTGTAACCGATAGCAAGATTGCCTGACCAGGCAAGTGTGTTTTTCATGTCCTTGTTTGGTTGCAGTCCTGGAGCTATGCCTGAGTGGATGAAAGGGACGGGGCAGCGTTTGGTTGACGAGCTGCCTGTGTTTATACATTTTGATTTGAAGGTGTGGTGCAAAAACATTTCCAGAAAATATTATAGTAGCAGCGAAATATTGCAAATATTTTATAAATCCAATAAGCATGAGATGCAAAACGAAGCATACCATCTTCATTCATTAAACATGGAGGCAAGCCAATAATACTAGCGGTTGTTGTAATTAATAGAAAAAGAAAGAAATTGTATGCAGTCTGAAGAAGGCAAGTTACAGAGAAAACGGAAAACAGAAACCTCGATCCAAAAATCTGAAGGTGCGGCCACCAGGATGGTGATCCATATACAGAAGAAAATGAAATCCAAAGGTCAGGACCTCAAATCGTGCAAACAAAGAAGATAAATCATGGGTAGAATCAGTAGAAAAAAACTTCCGAAAAAATCAATTGAAAAAGAAAAAGAAGCAATTATTGCCTGTAACTTTCAGCTAAGAGGAGCCAGCCGGCCATCAGATGCAAAAAAAAAAAAAGTGCCGTCATTATGCGCCCTCATCAATCTGGCCATGATTTTTTACCTTTCCCCATGGATGAGCGCGAGAGAGAGAGAGCGCGCGCTTGAGGGGAAAGGGGAGAGAGTTCCGGAGAAAAGGGAAAGTGGCTTAGGTGGAGTCATTAAGGTCCAGGCAAGTCAGGACAGGACCCAGGTGGTGTTTAGTTCTCAAAATTTTTTCAAGATTTTCCATCACATCGAATCTTTGGACGCATGCATGAAGCATTAAATATAAATAAAAAATAAAACTAATTACACAGTTTAGACGAAATTCACGAGACGAATCTTTTAAGCCTAATTAGACTATGATTGGACACTAATTACCAAATAACAACAAAAGTGCTATAGTACCATTTCCCAAAAAAAATCATCAACTAAACAAGTCCCCAGGCGATTGAATTCCTACGCCTGGCTCCCAGGCAGGTGTGTCACAGGCAGCTCACAGCAGGCAAATTGTTCAGGGTCCCAACCAAACGGACCCTAGAAAGGATGCAGGCAGGTGTCCAATCCAGGCATTTTAGTCCCGGGCTCCATCCAAACAAGCCATGATGCATCCGCTCATGCGGAGTCAGAGACAGCCTGGTTGCATTTGTTTACATCCTCGATCGCAAATTCTCGCCTGCTATATTTGGTTTTGGCTTAAATTGTTTAACCACAAAATAATCTTATTTTTTTAAAATTATCTAAATTTATGGTTCAGACATTAATAATTTTTTCATGTAATTCTTTTATATATGTGCTTAGATGAAATTCAAAATTCTTTAACAAGAACATGCTCAAAACTAAGTTTTAATTCGAAATTAATTTTTTTTAATCATTCAAAACAAGCTCTGCGATTGAATTTAATTCTAAATTGAAACTTAATTGAGTATATCCATCATTAAGAAACTCTGTTTAGAATCCTTTGTTGAAATCATCCACGTAGGTGTAATTTGCAGGTCCTATGCACTTTGTTTGTAATCGATAAGAAAAAACCTAGAAAATCAAAATGGTCTAGGAAAGAAAAACGTGTCATTGTACTGCTTATGGCTTTCTCATCCAACCATGTTGCCCTGTTCGCTTGAACTTATTGGCCGTACCGTTTCAGCGAAATAACAATGTTTTTCTCTCACGATAAATCAGCATCAGTATAAACCATTTTTTCAGCTAGCCGAACAGGGGCAACGTTGTTGTTTAGCATGGATTGGGCTTATTGGCGGGTGGATGAGCAATATGCCTATCAACATTTCAATTGCTGATAGGTCCGTTGGCACAAATTACTTGTGCGTGGAGGTGACCTGACACGTCTGGTACACTTATTGGTTGCCGATTAGAGTCCTTTCAGCCATACAATTGCCGAAAGATTCCTATATTCGTATATCTTTCCTTCTAATGACTCTTGGTTCTGCGATTATGTTTATTAAAATAATATTATCCTTTAAAAAAATCTAGATTGCATAATTGAAGGCACATGATACAGAACGACTACTTGTCGTGAACATAGGAAAGATCTTTGTGACATTACTAATAGTAATAATAACCATACCCAAAAATGCCATAAAAAAACTTTGTACTAAATGACCGGCCAGCAATGCCACTAGGGCTGGATAACGAGCCAGCTCGGCTCAGCTCGTTCTGGCTCGTTACGATAACGAGCCGTCTTGTTATCTTAACGAGTCAGAAAGCCAGCTCGGCTCGGCTTGCTTATGAGATCGAGCTGGCTCGTTAACCTCGCAAGCTAGGTATAAAAAAGTACATAAAATATAATATTTGCTTTCATCTAAAGCTTGAGAATAGTAATAATACAAAGGTAACACATCCAACAGTGTTAAATCGAACAAAAAATTAATATGTGCTAACATATATACAAGTATAATAATAAACTATAGTATTACACCATATATCCATGGTACATATTCCATAACATACATAATGCGTCCATGAGTATCCATACATCCATTAAAAACAAAACGATAAAGTCATAATAATCCCAAATTTATAAGGTCTAGACCAGTTATCAACCAATTGTAAAGTACAAAGACACGAAGTAATACAAAAATTAATATAAGTTCTGTTGATTTTTTCCCTAAAAACGTGGCTCGCGAGCTGGCTCGTTATAGTTAACGAGCTAAAATCTCGGCTCGGCTCGTTAGCATAACGAGCCAGGCACGAGCCGAGCTAACGAGCTTCGAGTTTTTTATTCAGCCTTAAATGCCACGATGGCCAATGAGGAAAGAAGATGGTGTGGGTATATATAAAGAGTAAAAGAGAATAATATATCTACTTATATATAAAGGAGGATACCTAGGAGAGGAACCATGATTGGTAACAAGTTGCATACCCAGAGATGAACCAAGCTCTGCTATATATGCTTCTTTCTATCCTGAGCCACCTCTAACTTCAAAAACCTCTCCCAAGACAAACTAGAGCATGGACTAAACTAAAATAAATACTACTCCAGTACTCCATATATATCTTAAGCATAGAGATTGTCAGATGGACCATGCCAAGTTAACCACCAGATCTTACTTGTTTTGTCGTCGGATGGTTCTTATCCATCATCCAACAACATGGCAGCAAGATTTGATTTGGCTTCCAAATCAAGCCTAGGGCTAAGTAGTTAAAGATTTAGCTAACTTCCTCATTGCATATTTTTCAACACGGAAGCATGTGTGTGGACACACTCATTCGTGGGAGACAAGTCATTTTCTTGTTATATGATAGCACACTTGTAGCCGGAATCGATCACGCGCGACATGTAAAAATAAGAAATAAAAGGAAAGTCCACATCCATATCCATCCGATGACATCACCACAAGTCATAATCACACGGCACATATAAAACACCGTAGAATACAGTGCCAGTTGAAAAGGATAGGAAAATAAGGCTACAACAAAACCAGAGGACACGTACAAGCGCTAATAATAAGATATTTCAGGAACAAAAAAAAATTAATGTTTCTATATACTTATGAGCTAATTTTAAGATCAAACTTTATTCCTAAGACGAACTCGTTAGAGAAAATGCATGCTTGAGATTACCAAAAGCATCCGAATGAAGCCGACCTAGGTGCCTAATTCTTTTTTTTTTTAAAAAAATCTGATTTCTCGGCTTTATATTAATAAGGGGATGTGCCTAGTTCTTTTTGCATTGCGCCTGCACCACCATTACCGTAACACATTCATCGTCGAATATGGCGACAAGAACACAAAGGAGTATATTCGAGGAGTACTTATGTAGCATTCATTCCATGCTGTGAATTCAAAAAGTTTCTACGACTCCTGTTTGCATACAATCAATTGTCATTGTTTGTTTGTTTGTTGAGAACTTATTAAATGCAGTCGATAGTATTTTTCTCACAACAAACTGAAGATCCGCTTGGACTTATCGATCCAGAAATCAATGCGGCGAACAGGCCGAATATATAGCACGAGAAAAAAAATGTTCCCCACCAAAATCAGCTGGCACAAGCACTGTTGTGACAGACACGTGAGTGAAAGGCGACGGCAGGGGGACACTGACACGATGGCCCGACCCAAACGAATCCCACCTTTTATTCCCTTTATTTTTCCGTCTTCCGACCTGCGTCCGGCACTCCGGCTCCTCATCATCACCATTCATTCACCAGACCAACACAACAGGCGCCTTCTTCTTCAGGCCCAGCACGCACGCGCCCCGGCTCGCTGCCCTCCCCCTCCATCCCTCCCCTACCCTTTCCGTTTCCAGTCCCAGTCCCGTCCCGACGACGATCCCAGCCCCTCGCCCCGCCGCCGCCGCGCCCGCTGCGGAGCTCGGGCCGCAATGCCCGCGCCCCCGGACCCGTCGGATCCCGCCGCCGCCGAGCCGCCGCCCGCCGCCGCCGCTGCCGATGAGGAGGAGGACGACCGCGTCTTCCTCGTGCCCCTCAGGTGAGCGCACGCACCCCTAACCCTAACCTAGCCCTCCCGCATGCTCGCCCGATCCTGGGTGGCGCGCCGGCAGGAACGGCCCTTCTGACGAGATGCGATGGGCGCAGGTGGTGGAAGGAGGCGCAGGAGGGATCGGCGATTGACGCGCCCGCGCTGCCCTACGCGGCCGCGCCGGCTGGACCTACATCCTACGGCATGAGGGTGCTTAGTATGTTCCTCTCGGACCAGACGTATACGCTCCACCGCGCGGACGAGCTCCTCGAGCAGACCACCGCCTCCGCCAGGAGCTACGCGCTCCTCCCGGCCGACCTCTTCGCCAAGGCGCGGGACTGGTGAGATAGCCCGCTCCCACCTATTTTTTCTGTTCCTTATTATCACTCTTCTTCTTCAGTTCCTCCTCGCTTCCCTGGCTGGAATGGTTGTATGATAGGATTGCCTTCAATGCCCCGCGAGATTTATTTTGGATCACCTGTTTGAGTGGGTGTAGTAACCAGCAATGCTTAGGATGATCAGCTCGTACTGAATTAGATGCCTAATGATGCCTAATGATGGTCTAGGTCACTTTAGCTAGCCAGCCGCCTGCAATTCCGCGCCGTGTTGGTAATCCTGCTACTGTGATTTCGTACATCGAATATGGCGGTCCTATGTTTTCAAAGCGCTAGACTTGCTGCTGGAAGTGAGTGAGGTGGACAATTTAGGGTGACTGTTAATTTCACTTCCTAATAACCGCTGGCTGCCGATGATTGGTTGATGTGCATGTTGTTCGCGCGCCAGTGAGCTGTTTTCCGGTAGGACGGATGCCAATCCCTACGTGCTAGGGTTCGGTTCTCCAACATTCTAGTAAAGGTTGTATTTAATGAGTTACCATAAGGAGACCACAGTGCAATGCTGGAACCCCTTTTCCTTTGCTGAGCTGTGCAATAAAGCGTTGGTTCTTTCCGCACGTGCCAGGACTTAGAACGCTGATGTGAATCAAAGTCTCAGAGCAAGAAATCTGGTGTTGCATTGTGGCCTTCATCAGGATGGATGGCTGCTGAGAGCAAAAAAATCTTGTGCTACCTCTGGGAATGTTTTGAAGTCTAGAACCATTGATACATATCTTTCAGACTGGGACAAACCCTTTCGATATTAATGACATTAATGCAGTTGCATTGTATAGTTTACTTAAGGGTTAAGGCTAGCGGTCTTTAAATTATATATGCTCAGCTGCCTGAGTTTAGTTCTCATTTATTTCTTTTACTTACATGATGATCCGACTATTTTCTTTCTTTCAGTATAACTTATCTTATTTTATTTTTGTAGGTATATTGATTCTGCCAAGTCTGCAGGCAAAAACATGTCACCTGCTGGAGACTCCGTAAATATTTACCCCATAATGCTAAGAGTTTCAGCCACCAGAGGTACATATACACTAACAGTGAAGATTGGCAAAAAGGTACATACAAAGTACTTGCATTCTGCTTGATTCTTGTAGTTTGGAAGAGTTCTCTTTTTTAAGAAAGTTTGTTTACTTAAGGATATTGATTGCTCTCTTTTTAAGGATGATATTCTTCAGTAATAAGTATATCTTAACTTTGTGTTTTCCCCCTCCCTTTGGTACACTCAGGACAACTCAACTGAGAACTTTAAGAGAGCAAATAAGATTCTGACTGCAGACTCTGAGACGGTATTCTTCTGACAATCCTTTTTTCCACTTACTAGTAATGGTAAACAGCTATAGTTATTTTTCTTGTATTGCATGTTTGTAGGTTCACATATGGGATTTCTCTGGGCGAACAACATACATAGTTATGACTGAATTGAACCGGTCGCCCCATGACTCAAAATCTGCAGATCAGGAGGTATCTTCTCCATCTAGCCTTCCATCTTATCTCACTGTTGTGATTTTAGTGGGATTGTTCTGGCAGCTACTTTGGCCTTTCTTGTTGCATAAAATGTCAATGATGATTTTTTTATTCTTTAGATTAGTTCTGCTTACCACTCGCTGCAGCATGTTTACTTTGTCAAGGTTCTTATATTCTTTTCTGAAGTAGGTGTATTTAATCTGTACTAAGTTAGTGCATCTATGATTCATATTGTCAAAATCTCCTTTTTTCGAATTGAACTCTTTTCCATTGAATTGTTTGGCTCATACTGAGCATGGATAAACACCAAGTCACTTCAATCTCTCATAATCCTAGTGCTTTCTTCATGTCCTTGTAAAGTTCCATGAACAAAGGATGCATGTTCTACTTCTAAAGTCCAAGGAAAGGTCCACCATACCTTAAAGAAAAGGTGCATTCAAATCATTATGTATTTCTTTTCTGAGGTATCTGTGTCCAGCTAATTGACTTTATGTTCCCATTACAAATTTCTTATTCCACATTCTGAAAGCTGTACATTTCTTCTTTTGACTTGCTAACAGTTTCTTTAGAATTTGTAAATTGTGTAAGAAAACATATTATTATATGATTCCCGTTTAAACTAGGAAGGTTGGATGACTAGTGCATGAGTTATATTTGTTGAAAAATGTATATTCTCTTATTTGGAGCTTTGATGTTAGTTGTCAAGTGTCAACCACATACTTTATTGTAGGGGTCAGGGCTATATATGACTTGGTTTCTGCTATCTTATTCTGGGTGACTAGGCTCAGTGATTAACCAGATATTTTTTCCCTTTTGTTTTTAGATTAGATTATCTAGCTTGCACTTCTTGAACTTAGCTTTTGAACAGTTTGCTCTTGTGATTGTATCTTCTCATATATATGTTGCTTACAGTTTTGTAGTATATGTTGTTTACACTTTTGTAGTATATGTTGTTTACACTTTACTTCACGTTTTCAGATGCCTCTACAAATACACATTTATGATTTGTCAGAACCTACGGTTAATGGTTCTGATGGGAAAAGAGACGAGTTAGCATTAACATTGGGTGGCTCAAGTTTTAGCAATGGTGGTACTATGAACATGGATCTGGATTCATCAAGTGGAAGCTCTAAGCAAGTTGGCTCTGGTCTAACAGGACTAGACAATCTGGGAAACACATGTTTCATGAACAGTGCAGTCCAGTGCTTGGCTCATACTTCAAAGCTGGTTGACTATTTCCTTGGTGATTTCCATAAAGAAATAAACCCACATAACCCACTGGGGATGAAGGTATGCCAAAGTGTTTTTTACAGTTAATATAGTGTATTTATACTTGGAATTTGATATTACTTTTATTTCTTTAATTCAATTGCAAAATGTTTCTTAAACAGGGGGAACTCGCATGCGCATTTGGTGATTTATTGAGGAAGCTATGGGCTATTGATAGAAGCCCCGTTGCACCTCGCCAATTCAAAGCTAGACTTGGACGCTTTGCTCCCCAATTCAGTGGCTTTAACCAACATGATTCACAGGTTAGTTTGCTTTTTATTTTTGGAAACATCTTGACTCTAAAACACAAACTCCCAAATTATTTCTTTATTGAACTCCATGCGTAGCTGGCTATAGGCCACTTGATCCCCTACTAATATTAGCTTTGGGATTAAGTAGCCTGAACCCCAAGATGTGGTGCTAATGTATTGAATTGTGCTGTTGGCTTGCAATATCCAGAACTTGTGTTTCTATAGGGGGGCTTTTATTTGGGGACTGATTTTTAGTTACTTGGCTTTTTAGCAATAACTTGTATATTACTTACCTGAAGTGTTTTGCAATGCCAATGAAATGTTTCTCAGATTAGTTTTATGTGTCATACATATGTAGGAGCTTCTTGCTTTCCTATTGGATGGACTCCATGAAGATTTGAACCGTGTTAAATGTAAACCATATTCTGAATCCAAGGATTCAGATGGCAAATCGGATGAGGAGGTCGCAGATGAGTACTGGGGCAACCATTTAGCCCAAATGATTCTATCATAGTTGATATCTGCCAGGTTAGTTTTGAATGAGTGTAGGGCCTCTATTTTCGAGACATGCACATTCTTCTATAACGATTTTCGTCTCCTTTCTATATCTTTTATTACCTGTTGTGTATCAGTACTTTCCCTTTGTTTCCTTTGTATATTCCTTCTATGTTTATGCAAACAGATTTACAGATCCTGGTATTTGCATTAGGGGTGCCAAAGAGAATTTATGGGATATCGATTAGGGCCTATGGTTATACAGCTGTAGTTGGATTCTTGAATCATCCATATATACTGTACCAATTGTGCTGATATGTATGTGCTATAGGAAAGGATCCTGTGCTAATTATTTTTTCAAGTTTCAGAACAATTGATGGTGCAAGATTATAAAAGGTTTGCATGTGCTAATGGTTTATTGCAGCCAATATGTATGTCCATAGTTAGATCAAAATTCTACATTTTTACTCCAAAGTAACCTAATTTGTATAGAAAAAGGACATTCAATGTCACCAAAAGTCTCACTACACTGGCTACTTGATATACCTTTTCACTAAACTATGGAATAGGGATGCGAGGTGGGTTGTCCGTGAATCTGCAAATAGACTTAATTTGCGGGTTACCCACATAACCTCGCAAAAAAGCAAACCTATTTGCGGGGTTGCGGACAACCTGCCTTGCATCCATACACTAAACTATGCCAATTGCCTATTACTGGACAAACAGGAGGTTTTGAGCCCTTGCTTAGAATATATTGAGTTAACACCTGCCTCACAGCCTCTGACTTCTTGTTTCTTACAAGAATTCTCCTGATCCATTTAATTGATTGATGACATTTGTTACATCTATATAGCTGTTATTCTGGTGGAGAGACAGGATATGGGCTGGACAATAGTACATTCCCTTTTCAGTCCTTGCAATTTATGTGCCAGCTCTAAGATATATTATGCCCATTATTTGTGTATACGTTACAAATGTGCATAGTGGGACGGTTGCCTTTTGTGTACTTCAATTTATATGCTTTTTTATCTTCTATATTGACTGTCTTTGGTGTTTCAACACAGGGTCAGTACAAGTCAACATTAGTTTGCCCCATCTGCAAGAAAGTGTCTGTAACATTTGACCCGTTTATGTATTTGTCTTTGCCCCTGCCTACAACAACAATGAGAACAATGACCATAACAGTCTTCAGCACTGATGGGACCAGTGGGCCATCATCTTACACTATTAGTGTACCGAAATCTGGAGATACAAGGACCCTTATTAATATGTTAAGCAATGCTTGTTCGTTGAGAGATGATGAGCGCCTCCTAGTTGCTGAGGTATTCATTATTCCTTCAGAATCATTATTTCAAAAGCTGCTAAACATGCCTTTCATATTTCCTTACTGTTTGGTGATCGTGATCTAGGTCTACAACAATTCCCTTATTCGGTACTTGGACGAACCTTCTGAAGTCATCTCCTTGATCAGAGATGGAGATCGTTTGGTTGCATATCGGCTTCCTAAAGACAATGAAGATGCTCCTATTGTGGTGTTCAGAAACCAGCGTATGGAGTAAGTACAATCATTCTGTACGATGTGTTATTGTGTTGTTTAGATATCAATCAAATCTATAATGGTTGAAAGTTGAAACCGAATGCAGATAAAGACGTTCATCATAAGTTTCCACTTTTGGGGTCAAGAAAAAAAAACATTGAGAAATCTCCTTACAACAAAATCACCATCTTTCATGTGCAGGTCGCCCCTTGCCAATTTTGGGCGGAAGTCATGGAAGACTTTTGGCACTCCACTTGTGTCAAGCCTTCCCGATACCGTAACTGGAAGTACTATTTGCAATCTTTTCCTAAAGGTTATGACTCCGTTCAGAGTATCAAGAGATGATGTTGCCGATGCTGATAAAACAATTGGCGAAAGCAGTCTGGTTGATGAAACTGCAGATAGCAATATGAGCTCTGATGCCTCAGAGCCCACCACTATAAACAACAATTCTGTCGAGGATGAAACAGGGACTGAAGATGTGATGCAATTTTTCCTGACTAATGAGAGGTTCCCAGACCAACGCATGAAGATAGAAATGGATCTATCCATTACGGTGAAAGATCCGCATATGCGTCTGCATGTGGCTGTGTGTTGGGAGGACAATGGACTGGATCAATATGATCTTAGTTCTTTGGATTCTCTTCCAGAAGTTTACAAAGCGGTGCTATTTTCTAGGAGGCCACAGGACACATGTTCTCTATATGCATGTCTGGAAGCTTTTATTAAGGAAGAACCATTAGGCCCAGAAGACATGTGGTAATTTTCTTTCATCATAAGGAGCGTTTTATATCATAGTGTTTTTACATTCTTCTGTGTAAGCTCTCAAAGCGCTGTACAAGGTAGAATATTATGTTGTTGGAACAATGGTTATTTTAAAGAGTAGAAATACTGTAGTTGTACTGAATGGCGAAACTGGCACACACACACACACACACACTTATTCCTCTTCCATTGTTTGTAAGTTTGTTCTCCCTCTATTATGCAGGTACTGCCCAGGTTGTAAAGAGCATCAACAAGCTAGTAAGAAGTTAGACCTTTGGAGATTACCTGAAATCCTTATAATACACCTGAAAAGATTTTCGTACAGTCGGTACACCAAAAACAAGTTGGAGACCTTTGTGGACTTCCCAATTCATGATCTTGACCTGTCAAAGTACATCGGTCACAGATGCCAAGATGTTCCTCACAATTATCGACTGTATGCTATTAGCAACCACTATGGAAGCTTGGGAGGTGGTCACTATACAGCTTATGTTTATGTGAGTTCTCTTCCTCCCCAACTGTGCCTTTTGGGTACATCTGTTTTCTATATCATTGGCAATTGGCAAGATCACGTACTGTTCTCATTTTAGAATACCATTTTGTTCCACGTGTTGGGTCTGTAAGGTATATGCGCTTATAATGTGCTTTCTTTGGTGCAGCATGAAGGGAAAAAAGGGTGGTATGATTTCGATGACCGTCATGTGGGTCCTATAACCGAGGACAGTATAAAGACATCGGCGGCTTATGTTCTTTTTTACCGGCGGAAACAGGAGGATAGCTTAGATACAGGTACAGACATAGATTCTGATATTCCAACTTGAGGAGGCGGAGGCAAATTTTGAGCCGTCCCGGACTGTGTATAGTTCATTGGTTTGCGGGGACAGCTGTGCGGTGATGCCGCAACGGAAGTGAGAGATAGGAACAGGTGGGAAGAGGTTTTTTGGCTCCAGATAGTGAGAAGGGCTTGAGATGGGGATTTACTGTTTCCAGCGTGCAGGATCAGGTGGCAGGCAGTGCACCGCAGGCAGGCTGTTGTAGGCTGATATCATACATGTTGTTTTAGGGTTCAGAGGGGGAGATAATTTATCCTAGTTCCGTTACAGATTCCTTTGTTTTTCCCTTCCCTTGTTAACACCTGTAATTGATAGTGGTAAATTTTGGCTAATGACATGGGAGAAAAATCATCCCAGATTCTCTCAACAGTTGGTGTTAAAGTTTTAAGCAATGCTGTGACTGTGCACTGCGGAACTGAGAGGAAACTCTTGCTTTTGTTCGGCTTAGGCTGCGGACACGCAAATCCAGCCCACCTGGGGGCTGGGGCCTGTTTAAAGAAAGAACGCGGGGTGATTCCTACGGCAACGCCCGAGGCCTGTTACTTGTTTATATTAAGGCAGTTCTTTGAGGGTTTTCAGTGTGGTGTGACCCTTTGCGGCTGGTGTTGTCTGTCGCTTAAAATCTGTCTTCACCCAGTCAGGCGTGGTTGTGGACAGGAAAATTAAACGGTAATGCTCTAGGCGGGCGTCCGTCTGCCATCCTGGGCCGGCGCGCTACCGGTTTAACAAGCTGCCTCCTCTCTCTGTCTTCCCCATCTCTCTCAAAAATATCCGTCCACTCGCTTGCCCATAGCTCGCTTCATGGCGCTATGTGGTTGTCCGCCCGCCCTACTCCGCATTCGCCGCCACGGCCATCTCCCCGTGCGCGCCCGTATTCTGCGCTGCTCGTTCCTCGCTCCTGCCCATCGTGTGCTCTCGCTCCTTGCTCCCGCAGTCCCACCCGCCCCGCGCCGCTCGCTCCCGCGTTGTCGGGCACGTCGCTCGCCTCGCATGGGTGCTGGCGGTGCCGTCGTGCGCCTTAGGTTGGTCCTGGCCAGGCCAAGGGCACCCACGAGCGCAACCCATGCCGGTGGTCGCACGCCGCTGGCTTCCACCCTAAGGCCAGAATCAACCAGCCTCGACCTCCCCTCCTTTATGATGTTTCAGAGGTATGTTACACGTGGTTCATATGGATGTTGCAAAAGTAGATCGGGATGTTGCATATGTTGCAAGTGTTTCATAGGCATATTGCAAGTGTTTCAGAGGCATGGTGCAAGTGTTTGTTTAAAATGTTTCATCTGTTTCAAACGTATGTTGCAATCATTTTTATTTGGATGTTGCACATGTTTCACACATATGTTGCAAGAGTATATTTGAAATATTTCAGCTGTTTCAATCTTATGTTGCAATAAGTGTTTTCGTGTTGTAAGTTGCAAGTGTTTTATCTGGATGTTGCATATGTTTCACACACATGTTGCAAGTGTATGTTCCAAATGTTTTCATCTATTTCAGATGTATGTTGCATTCAAGTGTTTCATGTTGCAAGTGATTTGTGTTTTAGAGGTATGTTTCACAGAGTCATGGGGGCATGGCCCGAGCGCTGGGGGAAGGGGCGCGGTGAGCGGGGGCTAGTGGATGGGGTGTGCGGCGCGCCTGGGTCCTGCGGACGGGGCGTGCTCGTCCTCATCCTGGCTCGTGGGTCCCTCTCGCGCGGAGAGAGTGGAGGGGGTCAGGGGGAAGGAGCGGCGGGTATGGGGCGGGGGCAGGGTACGCGTGCGGGGCGGGGCAAGGCAGACGGGGATAGACATGCGCGTGCAGCAGCGATACGACATAGCGGCAGCCGCGGGCGGGCGGGCTGGTGACCGAAGCGGGGGTCACGCGATGGCGTTTTCTGATGGGCCGTTTTGCTAGGCCGTTCAGTGGGAGTGTGCCCAGGTTACCGTCCGACGGAATCCTATCCCATCAGACGTCTGGACGCCAGCAACTCCCAAAATTAAAAGAAACTCCCATCCCCCACGTCGCCCGTCGCACACTGTCATTCATTCAATCAACAGTCCTGCCCTAGTCCTCTGTCCTCATCGTCGCCGGAGAGCTCTGCCAGTGCCAGAGGGTGGTGTGGGCGCGAGGAAGGCGGGGATGAGGCTCCTTTCCCCTTGCAGCCAATGCATCGTTTCACTTAGCGGCTGCCACGATGTCGCTGGCTTCGTGCGTGGGCGGTAACCTCTAGCAACTATATGGTGTGTTTGGTTTATGTTTTGGATATTCCTTAGAAAGCCAGCTAACAACAAATACAACAATAACTTTTAAAACAGGATCCTACTTTTCATCTGAAGGTTCCAATTTTAGTGGCTCTATTTTCTATGTTGCACTCCAAAAAGTAGCCCTCAAAGTAGACCCCTCAGATCCGTTCTAACAGAGAATGACACCTGTGATCCGCTTGTCATTGACTTTCTCGATCAAAACACTAGTAATTGGAGGAAGAGCACCGACCGCCGATTACAACGAGAGGAGCAGGGATGGAACCCAGTCGTGAGCGCGAGGAGCATGATGAGAGGAGCGGGAACCCGACCACTAGCGTGACGAGATGAGCGAGGATTCGTCTATGGCCTCGCTGTCACGTTGCTGGATCTCACCCAGCGAGAGGAGCAACACTAGGTGCATGTGTGGGACATCCCAACCGCCGCAAATCTGGGTGGCCACGCGGGCCCTGCTAGAGGGAGGGAGGGAGTGGTCGTAGGAGGGAGGGGAGGGGCCGCCAAGAGGAAGGGTCCACGGGAGGGAGGGGAGAAGCCGGCGACGTTGGAGGTGGGTGGTGGCAGGGGTTTCGCTTGTGGGTGGAGAGGGAAACAACCAAAATAGCCTTTTACGTGCCCGTGGCGGCTGAGCCCCTAGGAATAGGGTCCTTACCGAGGATTTATGTGCCACCTTAAAATTAATTTGAGTTGTGTTTTTGGCCTGGACACTCACATATAGCTATGCGGGCTCAATTAGGAGCCCTATTAGAATTGCTTTGAGCGTGAGCAGCTTTTTTTGACTCAGTGTTGTGAGTAGAATTGCTTGTTGGTATTTATTAACGTGTCACTTATTTTAAGTAGTCACCCTATGTTGTTGACATTCCTTAGCATCACTTTTACTAAGTTGTCATCCCTAGTGATGGTGCCAGAAATGCTTGTTGGTACTACCTAGTGCCACTTCTAGAATAACACTAAGAAGTACTTTAATATTTCATGTGACTAGTAAGAATATATAAATGAAAGGAATCTGCAAGCGCACAGATAATATACCATTGTAACACTTTACCCAAGAGTATTCCAGGTATTGTTATTTATATTTTTACCACAAGGAAGGGTGGACAGTTGAAATATATTGATAACTTATATACATGATGGAGAAATAAATCATAACCAAACTTCTACTCACAACAGGGGTAAGTCAAAAGATAAATGTATATGAATGGTAAGTGATAACTAATCATTGATCACTCGGAGTACTCCTTTCTATGGCATTAGCATGGCTAAGTAGAATATTAGAGGAATAATTCCTAAGTCATTCTTAATTATAAGTCAAAGCATACGTTGATTAGTGCAATTACATTTAGTAGTTATTGATAAGATCAACTTTATATCTACATATAAGGGATATTACTAAGGAAGATTAAGAACAGAGCTTGTCTTCCTTCGTAACCGCATCCTACTTGTTCTATATTCGGGGAGTGGACTACAAAGGACTCAAAGGGAGTGTCACATCCGCGATCTACCACATGGCCCGGATATAGGGTGCATCCATAGGTAAACAACATATAAGCACCACGCTTACACAATGTCAACCACTCACCCCGTGTACACCAGAGCGAGCGCTATACGAATTTATGTTTGAATATAATGATAATATAGCTATACTAAGCATATAATCAAAATAAACGATGAACATTATAACTAGGAACATGAATGATATAAAGAACATTGTCATAACAATTGTAGCAAACATATAAAAGTAATGAGAGATACAAACGAGAGAGGGGTACAAGAACTATACCAAACCATACTCTTGACAAAATCGGTAATCCAAGCGAAGCTTGCCTCCCTCTAGACCTAGCCTAGCTAGTTATGCCCTAGAATATAGTAGAGCTCTGAGGATGATTAGGGTTTCTATCTTCTCTTGATTGAATGCAATTGCCTCAGGGAGGGGGCCGGGTTGGGGCTGGTATATATAGGCCGGAGCGTCAATCTTGAGCCCTTGGATTAAACCGACTTGAAAGGACGGCATAGATGCAAACCCTAAGGCGGTGGAGAACCGACATTGGAACGAAGAGCTAACATGTGAGCCCCAGGGGTCGGCCCCACTTGTCATCCACCTGTGGTTTTCTTCGGTGTATTGCCTTCTGGTGTCATCTGGAACCTTCTGGAGTTGTTTTCGCTGTGGATAAACGTGATTAATTCTGACATGTAGATCCACCGTGACGGTTTTCTGAATAAACCCCACTGAAAACACAGATTCACCAAAACTCGTGGAATTTGTTAGTTTAAACCCCTAAACCTATGTTAGTGATTACTTTCATGCACTTATACATGTTATATTAACGGTTTATAATGTTCATTAACTACCGTCAATACTCAGCTAATATCTTGCTTGTGCAGCGCAAGTGCACTTGTTTGGTTGGTTTGACTGTCTAAGCCCACATTAGAAAGTTGACTTGCTAGAACCTAGACAAAGATTGACCAGGTAACGAAACCGTGAGTGAGTTGTGCGATGCTGTTAGTTGAGAGGTCAACATACCGAAGTTGTACGTGATGGCGCACTCACTCTGGTTGTGTAGTTTTTGGGACTGTCTTACACAAAAACTAATCCTATTCTTATCATTTTTATTTTTCTTCTTCTATAATAAATAAAATTTGCTGCAAAAAACGTCCTTTTCGGAAAAAAACTACTCTGCAGTTCATATACTCCCCTTCTTATTCATGTTGGATAGCAACTTGACAACAGGACTAGCTGGATGCGTATTTGTTGACATGTGACTCCTATGGTGCCACGGCTCGGCAGCACGGTGAGGGACTGAGCTAGCTTGGAACGAAGCCAGGTCGCGGCCGGCGCTGTCCGTGTCTCACGTACGCTCGCCACACCTGATGGACCACCCGCGTCGGCGCGTTTGCGTGCGCGCGTCGTGCGGTGATAGGCTGCCTGGCGCCTGCTGGGAGCTGCGATGCGAACAAGTGAAGCGAGAGCCGGCCGGCGGAAGGGAAGAAAGGAAAGGAAGGGGTGGACGCACGCAAACTTGCAATTTTGCAAAGGAGGGACCGAGGGAGGCTGCACTGGTGTCCGCGTCCGGGTCCGGCAGTCCGCCCAACCAACCAGAGCCGGACCTTTTCTGCCGCGAGCAGCCCCGACTGCTTCGGTGCGTCGTCGCCTCCACGCGCCGCCGCGGCCATCTTCTTCCGGCTCCCAACGCCGGATTCCCTGACCGCGAAGAAGAAAATCGCCAAGAAGTCTGTTCGGGCGCTCATCTCCCTCGCCGTCGGTCAGGAGTCCTCGCTTTCTACCAGGCCGCGCTGCACCAGCATGTTCCCAATCCGTACCAAGGCTGCGGGGGTCGAATGTCCGAGCGAGAGGAAGAAGGCACCGACGACACCGCGGAGCAAGGCTGTTCGGCCCCACCGACGACCTCCACGTCGGGGACGGCCTCCACGCCTTCAGGTCCAGGGGCTGGGCATGCGGCCTCAGCCACGAAGGCGCGCTCTGCGTCATGGGCATCACCGGCCGCGTCGGCGTCGTCATCATCTGCCTCGGCTTCGAGCGCACCACCACCACCATGCATTTCGAGGGGGGCTGCCACAGGGGACCCCGGAGCGTCATCCTCGTCGTCGTCGTTGGGAGCTCCGTGTCCGCGCAGCCAGTGTGCAGACCCGTGTTGGCGTCACTCGAGAGCGGCGGGGTGCACGGCGCTGCAGTTCGCCAACAACAGCTTCTTCCGCTACTTCACTTTCGTCATCCATAGCAACCTCTACTGCAGCACCGGCTTCTCCAACCCCTCCTCCACCACAGGATGTGCCCTCGATGTTCATGGTTTCTGCCTCGAGCAGGCTAGGCGCTCTCTCCATTCATGCAGCAAAGGTGTTCGTTGGAATGTCGAGTCTGCAAGAGGAGCAGTCTGCTCTGTCAAACAATGTGAGTATACCAGCTATGTCAGTACATGATGCAGTCTGCTGCTTCCTGGTAATCACATCAAGGCAATGTGAGATTCCCTCACCACCAAGGACAAGCATTTTCACCTCTGCAGTATACCCATCAGTCCAGTTCTGGGGTGTCAAAATGCTCACCAAACAATTACAGAGGAGCATTCTCTTTCCTTCACTTTGAGAATGTGATCAGACAGAGTGGTCTATTGGGCTATTTGTCTACAGGGATGCTCTATTTCCATGGATTAGTGGCAAGTGCTCAGTGGTAGTTAGAGGGCATGATCTTTTACCACAGCCAAAATCACCTGATCACACAATGTTCGTTTGATCATTTCTGTGGCTTATAAGCCGGCTGATGCTATTTTGTTGTGAGAGAAAAACACTGTATCATGGCTGATAAGCATGGCTGATACGATCAAGCGAACAGACTTGCACTGCCCTTCTTTGTGTTGGAGCCAGTGCCGCAGTCCACCTCTCTGTTCAACGCTGTGAAGTTTGCCATGGCATTCTGCACTGGAGTGTTCTCAGGGACTTTTGGGATGCAAATGATGGTGCCTTTTGGAGATCACGTGGTGTTTGATAGAGGAAAATCCATAAGAGTCATTGTGTAGGCCATTCCATCAAATTGATTTTATCTTGAGTGCTGCAGTACCAGTCAAGCTTTTATGGTCATCACCACAAATCAGAATGGTGTTTCTACAGGATGCCAATGTCGCAGTGCAGCAGCTAACTGACATGCAATTATTGCAAAATTCATTGGTTTTCTCTGAAGTTATCTGGAGACAATTTCGAAGGCCCGTAGCAGTGGACACCTTGAGAAGCCACTCTGTGCCTGCTGGGAAGTTGTTCGGTTACAATCAGTCTATTGTGCAGATGCACTTTGTACTAAGTTGGTATGGGTGGTTACCTCGCACAATGATTCGTTGGGCTGAGCATGGCACAGTGACCCGAGCAAGTGTGCAGTTGTCCATTCAGTACAAGAAAAATTCAAGAGAAAAGGAGGATGCGTGCCTGGTATTTGATGTTCAGTTCAGTGAAGTTGATTTCCAGAACACTTTCGTCAGCCCTGAGCGCGGGATTTCTTTACAGAGCAAGGGTGGTTTCAGAGTTGACAAGCCCAGGAATTTCACATTAGTACAAGGTCCTCACCAGCACAGTCAATCTGATATACAGTTGATCCAACTCAGTTGGGATCCCGGTGGCGTCAACAACAGCGGCTTGGGGGCAAGCCGCATTTCAAGCGGAGGGGCATGTCACGGACTGGGCCACCAGGTGGGCTTCCAAGCTGGGCCGCGAGATGGGCTTCCAAGTAACAGTCGCCGGGACGGGAGATCAGAATAAAGACCAGAGCGGTCGGCCATCGGGCGGCATCGAACAAGAACAGAACTTCGTCGTCTACCTCCCGACCTCCGTCCAAGTTCTAGAACCCTCTGCTGTTCTTGCTTCCCTGCCTCTGATCCCTGCTATTCCCTATCTAAATTCCATCTAATTCTCTAGAAATTGTATCCAATACTCTTGTACTTGTGATTGATAGTGGATTGACAGTGAAGGTTCATAACAGAGCAGCAGTACAGTGGAGGCGTCAATGGCGACGTGACCCGACAGTAACGGCAAAAAGCTAAATCCACCTTCGTCTTCCTCCCTAGCTCCGTCTCCCTCTCGCCCTCTCTCTCTCTCTCTCTCTGCGCAGCTGTCACGCACGCACGCGTGCCCTGTCGCGTCGACGAGGCTGGTCCCGGCATCTGCAGCCGGCCGGCAGGTTCCGATCCAGAGAGGAAGAGAGATTGACTTGAGTGAGGCAGAGCCGCCTCGCTGCCTCGTGTCGCCATTATCAAGCTACTACTAGTCGTATATACTCTAGTGTAGGAGTGCGACAGTGAAAACACAGGCAGGTAAAAAATCTCGAACTGGAACAGCGCATGTTTCACATCTTTTCTCTCTGTAACTTTTCTAGTAGAGAGAGCGAGAGGACAATCTAAATAATGGAGGTACTACTACTGTACGCACGCTTGGTTGGGATGACGACACCCGACTCCATTTGATCCTTTCACTTTTCACCTGCGAATATCGTTCCAGCTGATTTGTTATGAGAGAAAAATATTGTTCTGGCTAAAAAAATAAGCTGAAATGTACGGATTATTAGACAAGCGAACAGGACCTAATATACACAGGTTCACTTGTCGAGTGCTTTATCTCACTCTCACCGCTCTGGTAGATTCGTTGCCAGCATTAGTTTATATCTAGATTTACAGAATGTAGTTCACTCATGTTTGGTTGTCTATATATTAGCTCTCTGAGCATTCATAACGAAGGTTTTCAAGTCGGTCCTATTTCTTTTGGACCCACTTTATACATTGTGCCATCAGTCTTATATAGGAGCAGCTTCCTTTGAACCCGCTTCCCACATTGTCCCACCAGTCCTATATAGAACTTGGTTCCTTGTATAGAATCCGGTCCTTTGAATTAAAAAAAGCAACTTTTTCTCTTTGACCGCTCTCTCCCTCTCTCACTTCCACTCGTCCTTGATGTGCTGCGCATCGGATCCGATGCTCCTTCATCCTGGTGGGAAGGGAGACGGTGATCGCCATGGGAGAGAGGGAAAAGGGGGACGACCTCACCTCCAGGCGCGTGGCATGGCGAGATTTGCCGAGCATTTGGGGAGGAGGAGCCTCTAGGGCACCGATGGTGGGGCACCGGGAGGATAGTGGGAGAGGAGGAGCCTCTAGGGCACATCCTGCTAGTGGGCAGGCGGGGACCACGACGAGGAGAAGGGAACATAGCTTGGGAGAACTTGCTTCAAAGCACACGAGTTAGGTGATCTTGGCCCTAGGTGGAGCGGTGCGGAGGGGAGGAGTTGTGGGGTGCCGGAGGGGAGGAGGTGCGAGGTGTTGACACGGGGCGCAGCCGGTGGGAGAAGGAGATCTTTGAGGGGACACCGGCACCCGGAGGAGAGTAGAGCAGTAGCACTGGAGGGAGGGAGAAAGGAGGCAGGTGGCCACGATCACGGGGTCAGGGGAGAGAAGGATGCCAACCGAGTTTTTTTTTGTCCTTTATGAGCCCTAACTATAAATTCAGGGGTTGGTTCTATATATTTGGATCATTTTAACTAGTGACACCATGTCATTGTACAAGACCGAGGTTGGTCCTATAGATTGGAGATGCCCATATACAGACTCTTTAATACTCAAAGTATGGCCAATATAGCATTAGCTAGTATGCCATATTTTGTCGTACTAAACAATGTAGATTTACACAAATGGATGGGCACAAAAAAAAATTCTCGCTCACATACCTCTGAGACCTCGACAAGTGACCAGTGGCGGATGTAGAACATGATTGAAGGGGGGCTAGTCTCTTCTTCTTCCTCTCTCTCTCTCCATTTTTCTTCTTTCCTCCACCACTTCTTCTCCTTCACCCTCCCCATATTTCCATTGATGCACCAGCTGTAAGGGGCCCCCCCCCCCTTTAGATCTGCCTCTGCAAGTGACCACATTCAATGAAATATAAACAACCAAACATAACTATATCAAACACGGACAACCAAACTCCAAGACACTCTGCGTTTGTGCTGAGCTGAGTTATGCTGCACATCATCTAATGCAAATTAAAATTAATGCAAGGAACCAATCACAGCATGCAAAGCCATATTCAGCGACCGTACGTGCTAGTTCTCAAAACACGACCACACTTTAAGGTGAAGGGAGAGTACTTAGGCGCCAAGCGTCGCCATCGGCCATGAACCAAGTCGTACCTGGACCCTGGTGCTCATTAAGGTGTCAATGCAATGCAAGTGGCCCAGTGCTTAAGCCTGCGCCACCACCTGACTGCGCAATAATTTCTTGCAAGTGCCTATACAGTTTGATTCGATCTCCAGTTGCATGCATGGTTCTCAGCCATGTGCATGCCTTGTCAACTTTCTCTCCGTATGCTCTTGTAGTGTCCACCCTACCCCGGCCCAACCTAGCTAGCTAGCTAGAGAAGTACGACTTGGTTCATTGCGGCGCTGTGTGGGCTGATGACATGAAAGCACGCTTGGACGACCGGCGCTTGTGAGCATTTCATCATGTCACCACGTTGAAACAATACAACATGCGACCAGGAAATCAGAGAGATCGTTATCACTTGATGCGCAGCGCAGCGGAAGAAAAGTTAGAGCAGTCCGGTCCATTGTCATGCGCATCGATACAGTGGAAGTAGGCATACGTCCTCGCACCCCGGCAACAGCACGTCACCTTCGCTTGTCTTGCTTGCGTTTGTAGCCGATCAGCACTGCAGCAACAATAACAACATCTCCACAATATCCAGGCTTATGGGGATAGAACGTCGGATCGATGCCGCATGCCGGTGCGCGCGCATTGGACTCACGGATGGGAAGGAGGGGGCGGCATGGCGCTAGGTTATGGATAGGCGAGTTGTGTGTCTCCTATAGTTTTCGCCACTCACTTATATAGGCCCTGCTAATGGGCTTATAACTTAGAGGCCCAATAGGGCTTATATATAGGCTATGTTCGCTTGTTTTATAATCCATACTTTTTAAACTTTTTTTTTTCAAATAGGAACAGATTTTTTTCACCATCACAACAAATCATCCTAACAGTGTTTTAGTTTATTTTTTCAGCGAAACATGACATAAATATATATATATATATATATATATATATATATATATATATATATATATATATATATATATATATATATATATATATATATATATATATATATATATATATATATATATATATGAGAGGTGAGATGTTTTTTTTTTAAATTGAGAGGTGTGGGTTGTTACGGAGAGGCGAGTTGTGTGTCTCCTTTTATATGGATCTAACCTGTAATGGGATCATTGTCTTTGAACACATTATCAACACCTTTTTCAATCTGGTCTAGCTTTGTCCACCGGAAACAAGGGATGGTTACCGTTTGGTCCTTACTATATATGTATATATGTCGCTCGGTATAGCACTGCTTCTTTGAATATGCGTGCATTGAAGAGAAGCTATTTTCCCACTTAATTTATACATGATAATTACCCACAACAAATTAAAATGAATCACTAGTTGCAGGAGCAGCAGCCTGTGGCCAGGACATTTTTTTTACAACAATGTGGCCAGGACATTGTTCATTCATTGAAAGAACCAATTCTGTGATCCCGTATTTATTGGCGTGGAAAAGATATATCCAGTCCGGCCGGCCAGGTCCTAATGCAAATTGATGGAAAAGGGCCTACAGTGTTCCTGAGCATATACGGATCCACGTCGGCGCCGCAACTAGTACAAGACCTTGATGTGGACACCATCAGCATGTTCGTTTCGTCGTAAACGCTCGTGGATTATTTACTGCTGGCTGGTTTGGTGTGAGAGAAAAATACTGTTCCAGCTTATAATCAACGATCGTATACGAGCAAGCGAACATGTTGCATATCCAGCGATGAGTGCGATACATGATATCCCCTGCTATATTACACAAGACCAAACTCATATATAATACCCAAAAGAAAATAGATACCAGCTCCCTTCGTCTTAAATAATTATACATCTCAATTTTCTACGGGTCAGTATTTTAAAAAAGTTTAGCTAAAATATTCATTCCCCCATTATATTCTTCTTCTTATTAGTATTCGAAAACCAAGCTCATAATACATACCCAAAAGAAAATAAATACCCCCTCTATCTCAAAATAACTATACATCCTTTTTTTAAAAAAAAAAGTGTAACCAAATATATATATAAAACATACACTAGTGTTTATGATTAATACATATTAATAGATTAATAGTGAAATATATTTTCACAATAAACATATCATAAGATACAAATATTTACAATATTGCGAAAGGGCTTGTAACCTAGTGATTATAAGAGCCTCATAGCAACTTAGGTCCTGGGTTCGACTCTCTGTGGAAGGGAATATTCTAGTAGAATTTAATGGTCTTTGCTTTCAGTGGTAGACGACGTCCTTGTCGACATCGAGGCGTTCCTATATTCATGGGAGAGTGTGCGCGTTGTGAGTGTCTGAGTTGTACCGAGTAATCGTAAAAATATATATATTTGTATAAATCTAGTTAAAGTTTAATTAACTTTTTGAAAAAAAAGAGATATGTAGTTATTTTAAGACGGAGAGTACACACTTATCTGCGCAATGAGAGCCTAATTGTCAATAATACACATAATCAAGCAGTGGAATAGTGAAGTGATTCTTATCATTGCATCGCACTATAGCAGAGAGGAGATCGATAGCAAAGGCCAAAGGCCAAAGGCCAAATGCGTTCTCGATCGAAACTGTCGTGTCGAGGTGACGCGTCGTGGGTCGGTCTCGTACTTGTGATACGTCACCCTTCA